GCATACACACGTATACTTGGATTTTTACAGGAACCGCTTGTATTCGTATGGAAATGCAGAAATCCGCCATGGGCTATATTGATAATCATATTTTGTTCAAGTCACGAAGATTTACATTTTGTTACTTTGGCGCTGTTGTTGTAGTTGTAGTTGTAGTTGTTCTTCTTGTTGTAGCTGTTGTTGTGTCTGTTGTTGTTATTCCATTGCTAGTTTATTGTTTGCATTGTTACGGGTATTGTAGTTGGTGTACTGTTGCTGTCTCTGTCTCTGCCGCTGTCGCCGCCACCGCCGCCGCTCTTGTTGTTGGGGTCAAACATGTTTAAATACATTCCAGAAACCTGTCAATGCGTGACATTTCACATTTACTCGTATATCTTTTTGTGCATGCGGGTATAACACAATAAAAATGGGCAACTGGCACAAAGGCTGCATTAAAACCGAATGCACTTTTAGTTTTGTGTGAATTAATTTTTAATGGATTAAAATGACCCCGGGCTACTTTTCGAAAACTGACAGTTGGTATTTTCAAGAAAAGAAATAACATGCAACCTTTACATACCTACACATACGTGTTTAAGTATATATAATTTACTCTCGTGTATTCACATTCCGAAATCCATATTTCTGTCAGCATATGTATGTTATATACAAGTTTATATTGTAGAAGAAGAAGTCCAAAGGAGCACTACCAGTTTTCTTCATCATCCCAGAATACAGCAATGTTGCAACGAATATGCACACACACCACCACAAACCACCAAAAAGGACCTTTGCGAAAATTGAAGAAGGAATTTCAATGAAAAGGCAAATGGAAAGGCAAAGGCAAAGTAAAAAAATCATAAATTAAGTCAACTCAAAAATAGCCACAGGCAACATACGTATATTTTGTATTGTATTATGATGGTAGTGATGATTATGGTACGATGTCTCTGTCACTGTCATTCCGTTCCACCTTACCGATGTCTTTGCATAGTACAGGGGACCCAACTCCACCTACTTATTTTTTATTTAATAATTTTTACCTTCAAGTTTTTTCCTTCCATTTCATTTGTGCTAAAAGCTGCTATTTCAAAATATATCGTCGCTGAGTTTTTGATTTTCTCACTTCACCGCACTTACCCAATTTTCCTTCCCCATTCTTCCTCATCCTCATCCTCATCCATTACCATTGCATTTGTTTATATATCCTGTTCGTGTAAAATTTAACATTGTTACTAATTTTTTTGTTTGTCTCTTCTCATTATCATCTGCTTTGCCTTTTCATATCATTGACTTGGTTAAATTTCATTTTGGTTGGCTTGATGCGAGCCACCCGGAGGCAGCCAACTTTAGTAACACAATCTTACCTTGCGGCTATTACAAGATTTTAAAATTTATCATAAAATAAATTCAACGCGCTGTATTTCAGCATTTCTTTTCACTAATTTTTATTGAATTATTAAAATACCCGTGGGTCCTTTCAGAATATACGTGCAATGCTATTCAATTTTAATTGTTCCAACCTTTCGGAGCTCACTATAGAGCCAACAAAAGTATTTGTATTGAGATACAAAAAAAAATTTATACTGAAAGTATTTTAAAGATATATACCATGCACTTAAAAAATCATAAATTACTTTGAAAGTATATTACTTCACAAGACACTTAGTTGATAATGCCGTGGAAGGCATATTGCACTAAAGTTATTAATTTAATACGCCTATTTGCTTTTCTTCAACACATTTTTATTTCAAGTACATAATACCTTTGTAAGATCTGCTCAGATTTCAGCAATTGTATCTACTCAATTATCAAAAAACTTAAGTGGCGCTAAAAAGTAGTTGAAAAAATGGAAACTTTAAGCAAAACTATCAAGTTAATCCTGTTACTTGTATACTCTTTGAAAAAGCAAGTGATTCACCATGTACTTGAACAACGAATAATCACCTCAGAAAACGAGTGCAAAATACCTCGGGATAAACCCCAACAAGTGAACTACCCGGTAACATTATATTTGTATTAAAATAAAAACAAACAGATGGGATTTATATTAACACTTTTTTATTGAGAGCTATGTTCTAATTCTCACCTATCGCTACAAAATAAACTTTTAATCAACAAAACAATAATAGTTTCAATCAATATGCACATATAGTACATCAACGGTTTCAATCAAGAGTATTATGTATAATAACAAAAACGACATTTATATAACAAATACTTAACAATGTATTGCGATCGTTATCTTAAGATTAAGATTATCAATTTGTAATAAAAAATTGAATAATTATATAAAAAATGAGTCCAAATAGTAAAAAAGTATAAAATTTCTCATTATCTTTACACAAATTTAATCAGCTATTAAAATGAATTGATAAAGACTTTCATCATTATATTATTATTATGGGGACCCAAAACCATAATGTTTAAAAATTCTCAACAATATTTACTAAAGTGATTAATATCTCAATTAGAAACTAAACCGCTTCAATCCATTCACGCAAGCAGTCAACACTTGACTAAGATCTTGTATACGTACATGTGTTTCTTTTTATTTTTGTTCTTATTTTTTAATATTTATATGACGAAACATATTTATCTTAACTCGAAATATAATTGAATTGCATCTTTAATATTAAAACAATTTTAATTTAACATATAAAGTTTAAATAATTTAATAATTTCTAAATTAATTTAAGTAAATCTTTTAAGTTATGATTATCTATTAAATTTAAAATGAATATATAGATAACAGATTATATTTATAAATTTATATATATGAATTAACATCCATAAATTTATCTATAAAGTCAAATTAGTTAACGTCAAAGTGTTAACTAGAAATTCAAAAAACTAAAAAAAATTGAATTTCCAGTTATTTCCCGAAGATTATTTCGGATATATAAGCAGGCAATTTTATTACTACGAAAGCTTCAAATTTACTTCATACACTTAATCCTGTAGAATAACAGAATCTTTTAACGGAAATAATTTTTGTCTAATAGATTTATGTAATAGATTAAAAACCACAATTCTTTAAAAAAATCAGTGTGGATTATACCACAAGACAACAAAATTGGAATTTTAGCCAAATCCTATACCAGTGGTTGATACGGAAAGTAAGTTTAGACTTGAATTGAACGAAATTCTCGACATAGTTAAAAATAATCGGCTACTTGACCGATATGACGAACAAAAACTGCTATGAAATATTATACATATATGACGTCTAAGGTACATGTAACAAAGTACTTGGCTTAATAGCTCAACAAAAACAAAGCTCAATAGATAAACTGTTAAACTTTCTAGAACACAACGATCTGTTAAATATTTTCTTTTCTGGTGAAAAAGGGTTTCTAATTAAGCAACTTAAAAACAGCCATAGGAGACATGAAACAGTTGATGATCACTCTTCGTTAATACCCTTAAACTGTGGCGTTAAGGTTAGTGTGTATATTTAACTAGAAAAACTTTGAAAAATGCTTTCATGTCGTCCGCAAACCTAAAATTTGGTAATATCGAAAGTTGAATCGAAAGATTCAACAAGTTATGCGCATTACCACACAAAGCATGCGCCGACGCCAGTTGCTGAGAGACAATGTTCCACATTTAACTTCGATGGATAGTGGCCATTACTATCAACAGATACGCTTGAATATATATTTGACAGTTTATAAAGTATTAAGAAATAAAAGAGATCTGATGTGCTGGAAAAAATTTTTGGGGTGCAAATAAAAACTCCTTAGATTCGTGTTTGTTCAACACTAAAATATAAGAGAGCATTGATGTGTTGAAAAAAAACGTTGTTTCTTCACAGGTTCGTATTTATCCAGTATGAGAGCATTTGCTTACCACCTGAGAACCATCATTCACACTAAAGTAGTTCTCGAGTATTCAAAATTAATTCTTGAAAATGTTGATTCTGATAACTCATACGTCTCTGAGTTAATTCTATTGTTCTCCGCTACGTCCCAAAATATTAACTCCAACTATATGACACACTTAGCAATTTAACAACTTAGCAACAAATATGTTGAGATTTAATTAAAGAAAAAAAATACAAATTGAAATCACAACAAATTTTCTTACTGAATGATAAGAGGCACAAAAATATTTTCATTAAACTTCAATCTTCTAACTTCTGTATAATCGTTTTATTTAATTAATTCACCACGGCCTCTCGTGCGGTTTCATCGAGAGCCACACAGCCAATAAACAAGCAACAACAAAAGCCAAAAAACACAAACGCGCCTTCTATTCAATATGCAACCAAACATTTTGTATAAAAACAAAAAGTGATAAAATTTTCACACTTGTCGGAATTCGCACACAATTGACACAAATGGCTAACAAGCAAATAACCGAACGCACCAACACACGCCCAATAAATGCAACTGTGTTTCAGACAGGCAACATGTATTTAAACGCGTTACCACACATAAATGCAAACACACAAACAAACACAAGAGCAAAAAATTGAGAAAAACTCAAAACTGAACACCGAACACTGAACAGTGAACAGTGAACACTAAAAACTGAAATGAAGTTAGTCACAGTTGGAATAACAATGTGGGGTGATTTTGTGGCAATGTTGTTTCTGATGTTGCAGTGTGTTTTTTTTTTTATGTTGTGTTTGCTGCTGGTCCATTTTACGTGCTACTTAACTGGTTGTATGTGCATTTCAATGTTTTGTTTTTTTGGAAGTTGTTTAGAGCAACACACAAACACACACACAACACAAGAAAATAATAAAAAAATATAACTGCAACGTATGTCGGAAATTGTTGAATGCACTTAACAGTGTAAGCGTATTCCTTTCCTGTTTGCGGGTGAGTTTTTTACACTGGGTGCAGTTGGAGTGCAACAAGTTGTCGCTTCCGTTTTTAGAAAACCATTCAGAATGGTTTATTATTTGTATATTTTTAGCAAAATCAAAATTTTGTTAATTAGACGATATCGATTGTTTTAAACAAGTCTTTTTTTTATGAATTTAAAAATAAATAAAATAATTTTTGACTTACTTTAAAGATGGAATTGTTTTCAGTTCGTATTGTATTTTATCATCACCAATTTTTTACACGACACGTTAATTTTGATCAACGAAATTCTTATGTTTAAATCTCCCGTGCACACAAACACCTTCAAACGAGCATCAAAACTAAACTAAAAGCAGTAACAACATGTTTTGTTGAAATATGTAAAGCATGTTCGAACCATACAAGTTTCGTACGCTTCAATCAATTTTTAATAACGTAATGAGAAAGAATTGCAATTTAATATTTGTTTAAATGTGAAATTATTATTATTAAACTAATTACAACAAATTTAAAAAAATAAAAAAGTTCTAAAAGATTATATCTATAGAGTTTTATTCATTCACACAAAATTAGTTAATTAACTCAAATTAATTATTATTATAAGATCTATCCTGAATACCATTTTAATATCATTTATATAAAATTTCCTAAACTACTTTTAATTCTATACTTTACTTTCTTTTGCTTCATTCATTCATTTATAGCAAGTATCAAATTTATGTTTTTATTTTGTATTAATTTATATTGTTATAACAATTAATGTAGAATAAAAAAATTTATGTCCTAATTAAATTTTAAATCCAAAAAAATGTCAGAAAATCATGTATATTCTTGACATTAAAAATAATATACACATTGTGCTAACTTTATTATTAAATTATAATTAAATCATTATTATGTTAAGGATAGTTTAGTCAGTGCACTTGAGCACTTTTACTTTCTACTAACTGCGAAGTTTCTTCATAACCCCTCTCTACACCTTGACTGGATTATAGTTTATCACTTTATCAGACTAAGCAATAACTGACCTCAGATCTGCATACCTCCCCGAGAAGTATGTAATCATTCTGAGATTCGATAACGCGGTGTTGAAAAGCCAGTCACTTTTCGTAAATACTTTCAGGACTCTACCCTTTATGTATTTTTTGATTGGATCAATCTTGAGATCCCTGAAGACGTCATTCATCCTAATATACCATGGTAAATTCAAAAGTCTTCTTAGAGCCTGGCTTTCTGAAATTTCTATTTGGGGAGGCCTTGCTCAACACTATACATCCACATAAAAGTGACGGTCTAATTATTTGGTTATATAACAGCTTCCTGTTCTTAGCATTGAGATTTTCAGTTTTGAGTAGCGGTTAGAGGTGATGAAGAGTTTTGGCACAGCTTATTCTTTTCAGTTGAACGTGTTTAAGCCATATGCATCGTTTGTCTACCGTGATGCCTAGGTATTTAATGCTATCCACACAGTTTATGTATACCTTTCTGCTCTAAAAGTATCCGGATTTTGTTGTTTGTTAACTTAAATAATAGACCTTTTTCAAAAATACAAAAGATATTTAGTACAAATTTGAGCGCCATCTGTTAATTAGTTTGTTTACAGCAGCTGTTAATGTGAGACTACCTCAAGTGCATTAAGCGATTTACTTTGGAAAATTCTTGTTGTACGCGATTTTTTGACCAAACACGGCACCACTGTCATCGCTCAGGCACCACATTCGCCAGATCTGGATCCGTTTCCGAAACTCAAATTACCCCTTCTTGGTAAGCGTTTTGAGTCGATTGAATCGGTAAAAGAGAATTCGCTGAAGGGACTAAAAGCCATACCTTTACGGGCCTATGAAAAGTGTATGAAAGACTGGGTAAAGCGTTGGCATATGTGTATTGCTTCAGAAGGAGCATATTTTGAAGGAGATAAAATAAATTTGCAATAAAATTTAAATTTTTGTGTTTTATTTAAAAAATCCGAGTACTTTTTAAGCAGAAGGTAAAATAATAAACAATTATAAATATATTTATACCAAATTCTCAAGTTTTGTTTTTAATTTTAGCAGTCAATTGTTGTCGCTTTTAATACCAAATAAAAATTTTTGACATCCAAAATTACAAACAAAACTGTCGTATGAATCGAGTATAATATACTACATTTTGAATTTTAAAAATTAAATTATGTAAATAAATTATCATTAGATTAAAGATAAATTATAATATAATATATACAATAATCAAAGCAATATATTAAATATTATATTATTAAGATATCTATATATTACAGTTGAATCATAATGAATAATAAAATATAACACGGTAATTCTACGATTATTTCATCCAATTTAATAAAGTCCTAAGTCCTAAACGTTCAACCAATTTTTAACATTACGAACAAAATACAAGCACCAACTTTACCAATGAATACAAGTTCAATTTCTTCATACCAACATCAACAATGCCGGGATTGTCCAGCTTTCAACATCCAACTTAAACAAACTCGTACGTGAAAATTGAGGCTTATGTCGCAGGTTTGACCGATTTAGTTATCAATGACGCAACATCTTAATAATTATTGCCGGCACATGTACACAAATAGGTACGTGCCAGTCCCAGCAACGTAAACACAACATGATCCAAGATGCCATTTACAACCTCAACCAACATTTGAAACCAACTGCAAGCTGAGGTAGTAGAATATTTGAATCAAACATGTCACAAGTCCAACCAAGTGTATAACGTATAAATTGATATATCGTTCGTTCGTTGTTGCCGTCATCTGTAAGCAGAACGCTATAATAATTGTGTAGGTACGTATGCATATACATGTACATATATACACAACGTTGTATGTACAAAATTTATATACTGGCAAATAAATGCCCGCATGTCCCCATCTTCAAACCAAATCCAAAGAATGAACTAAACTTGCCTTGGGGCTCTTCGCTCGTAATTATAATATTTCATCCCAAACGTTGCCGCAAGCAATGCTGCACCAATGATGGATTTCAACTCTGAAAATAATACAGAGTTGTATGCGATGTTGCCAGCGGACAACAATTACCTGAAGCGGCACAAGTGCTGATTATGAATAAAATTTCTTGTTTTTTATATTTTACTTTTTATTTTTTGTTTTGCATTTTTTTATATTTAAACTTTTTTCTCTGTATTTCACTTCTACAAGCATAAAGTTTCATGTTATTTTATTTTGCTTTTGCTCACATATTTTTATTGTTTTCTGTTTTATTTATTTTTTTTTTGGTTTTTTTGTTTTTGAATCTTTTCCTTCTCAAAATTTATAAAATTTGTAAAAGCAAAAATGGTTTTCATGCTATTTGAATAGTTTTTTTACTTGCTCATTAGCAGAACTAGCTTGAACATTTGTTAAAGATTGTAGATAAACATAATATAATTATGTATTTCAAAGAACAATGTCTAATAATAATACAATTATTGATAAAAGTTTCGGAAAATAACTAAATATTTGAGATTATTATGTAGATAATAATCACTTTTGTATCACATATCTGGCTATATAATAATGATCATTAATATTATCCAAAGTGCAAATTAGATATTTTACTTCTAAGCATTGTACATTTTTTATATACTTTTCAACATAAATGCCAAATTAATAAATAGTTCTATATCTTCCTGAAAATATGATTCGACGTGTTTATAACTCGATATAAAGTAAGAACTAAGAACTTGAAAAACTCTACAAATATATTCCAAGAAAATTGGGCATATAGAATACCAACAACAGTTTATATTCAGATAAATCAGTACACTCGTCTAAACTAAAAAACGTAAAGTGTATTCGGCCGCTCCGAAGTGGGACAAAAAACAACAACTCTCCTGCTAAAATCTCTTGCTTAAGTCTCTTGCTAATACATATATTAACATCAATATTGCAAACTGTCTATGGTAATATTATGTTTTCACAATTAACAAGTCTTACAAATAGTCGCAAAACTCAAGATACTCGTAAATAAATTTTTTATAAACTTAAATATTGCTTAAACAGTTATAAATTATTATAGAATTAATAGCAAATTAGAAGCAATGATAACAATGAATAATATTTTATAATTTTCTTCTACAATGAAGTAAATTATTGCATACTCTTGTCATAACTATTAAGTCAAAAAAATCAAATGTGTGTGTGATTCTTAAAAATATTTATACATTATTAAAATATATCATTTTCACAGTTTTTAAATTTGTGAAACTTCTAAATTTTATTTGAATTTTTATTTGCAAAAAAGTTTTGACAGATGGAATACTTGTGAAAATTTCGAAAAAAAATGGTACACATTAGATCATTTATTACTTTGGCAACATTTTTTTCTGCAGTTTCTATATTATTAGTTACTTCATAACTAGTCTATTAGAACAAGAGAGTGCTTTTGTTACTTGGCATACAAATTGGACACTTTAGCAAGAGACTTGTTGTTTTTTGCTGTACTTCGAAGCAATCGAATACATATATCGATATAATTAGAATTATAGACGCAATTAAATTGTTGAAATCACCAACAGCATACGCCACAAGGAGGGGTTATTTTATCACTACTGTGGCTGCTGGTCATGAGGTGAAAGCAGTAGTGTATGCGGATGACGTGGTTATTCTAGTGTCAAGTATGTTCCCTAACATAATAAGCAATATTATGGAAAGGGCCTTGGTTAAGATAAGTGTCTGTGCCACAGGTTGTGAACTAGATATTAACCCAGGAAAAACTGAAATGATGCTGTTTACCACCAAAACCAAAATACCGGCTTTCCGGTTGAGTTCACTAAAAGGGGAACAATTAAAACTATCGGAAAAAGCCAAATATCTAGGAATTCTGTTGGATAATAAGCCAAACTGGAAACACAATATTGATCTTCGTATCAAGAAAGCATGTGTAGCTTTCTATTCTTGCAAAAAGATGTTTGGGAAACAATGGGAGATTGTACGTTCAATTCTCACATATGGTGCTGTCGTTAAGTGGCCGACCCTGAGTAAGAGCTATAATATCGATAAACTTAACAGAATTCAGAGGACGGTATGTATAGGTATCACAGGAGCTTTTAGGATGACTCCCTCGGATGCCCTAAACGTGATGCTACACCTGCTACTTATCGACCTTCACATCAAAAACATGGTTTGTAACAGCGCTGTAAGACTAAAAGTAACAGACGTCTGGTCGGAACGAACATATGGATATAGTCGGATTCTAGGTACAGTTCCAAATTGTATGTATAAGATGACATCGGATTATCTGAACCCGTGCATAGACTTCGAAAGGAATTTTCAGACAATATTCCCTTCAAGAAATGAATGAAAA